GTGTGTTTTAGAGATCTGCGTGGGACGCTCATGTTCACGCACGCACGCACACATGCACGCGCACACACACACACACACACACACACACACACACACACACACACACACACACACACACACACACACACACATACATACATAGAGCACCAAGCGACACACAGCATCACCCTCTCTCTCATTCACACACACACACACACACACACACACATATAAACAGCATCCACACGAATGCACGCATGGTCGGGAGCAATATTGTTAGACGGCGCGCCGACTCCCTTTCAAATTACACCAGAGTTACAGACCGCTCCCGCGCTTTATTCATTCATTTTCTTGTCGGCTTAGTCTCTTTATTAATCTGGGGTCACCACAGCGGAATGAACCGCCATCTTATCCAGCACGTTTTTACGCAGCGGATGCCCTTCCAGCCGCAACCCATCTCTGGGAAACCGCGCTTTATTCAGAAACTTATTCCAGCATCGCAAGAAATCAGGTCGGGTCCCGCGGCTCCCGCAGTACAGCAGCGGGAATGCAGACCTCTAGTTCGTATTTACCACGTCTCCCTTCTTGTTCGGTCGAAACCGGAAATACTGCCAAACTGCAGGTCACTTGATGCACGACTCGCCATCTTACCTCAGCTCTCTCTCCTCCACACTGTCCCGTGATGACAATCACCCATACGCATTTGTAGGCATTAAATAAATAATATTTATTACTTAATACTTGTCTCCTGTTTAAGTGCATTGTTTTTTTATGAACGGGATTGTAACTGACACGTTGCTATTTTTAGATCCAGCGGTATACCATATTACATTATTACCGCCCAAGCCTAATCAGGACAAATTAAGTTTACTTATTTTTTTTAGATAATTTTACCTAAATTAATAAAGCCAGTCTGACTTAATTTCAGAAATATGAAGTTTACATTTGAAAAAAAGTGCAAAAATTTTTTAAATCTTCAGTGTTGGGTCCTGGAAGTGCAGCGTTAAAGCATAACCGCTGTGGTTCTTCACCAGGTCCATGCACCCTTCTGTTCTCCAACCACCACCTAGAATAACTCCAGTTTATTCTGATGTATTGTCATCATCATCGGTGAGATTATTTCCTCACTGCTCTGCGCTTGGGTGCTCTTGTACATTTAGGGTAATGTATTTGACCCTGGGCAGAGGCACCCTGACCTGCAGGAGGTCAAATGGCACCATGAAGCTCATCTCAGCCCAAATTAAAGCACTGGCAACAGCCTCTGCTGAAAACATCAAACGGCATTATGTTGAGAGCAGAGCGAATGCGTCACGTCTCAATACTGCAGTGAGTTAGAGACAGCCGCGGCTACAGGTCAGAAACATCACCTCATTCCTCATAGCTCTGACCTTGAGCTGGAAGCACACAAACTACTAGCGCAATCAAGACACCCCCAAAAAATTCAACAAATTATAAATATATATAAAAATTAATAAATAAATATGTAAAAAAAGCTAAAAGGGTGGCTCAGTGGTTTGCACTTTCGCCTCACAGCAAGAAGGTTGCTCGTTTGAGTTTCGGCTAGGTCAGTTGGCATTTCTGTGTGGAGTTTGCATGTTCTTCCCGTGTTTGCGTAGGTTTTCTCCAAGTGCTCCGGTTTCCCCCACAGTCCAAAGACATGCAGTACAGGTGAATTGGGTAAGCTAAATTGTCCGTAGTGTATGAGTATGAATGAGTGAGTATGGATGTTTCCCAGTGATGGGTTGCAGATGGAAGGGCATCCTTTGTGTAAAACATATGCTGGATAAGTTGGCGGTTCATTCCGCTGTGGCGACCCCAGATTAATAAAGGGACTAAGCAGAAAAGAAAATGAATGAATAAATATAAAAAACTAAAAGGGGCGACACAGTGGCTCAGTGGTAAGCAATTTTGTCTCACAGCAAGATGGTCACTGGTTCGAGTCCCGGCTGGGTTAGTTGGCATTTCTTTGTGGAGTTTGCATGTTCTCCCCGTGTTGGCGTGGGTTTCCCCCACAGTCCAAAAACATGCGCTGGAGGTGAATTTAATAAACTAAATTGGCCTTAGTGTATGTGTGTAAAGGATTATTTATTGATGTTTCCCAGTACTGGGTTGCAGCTGAAAGGGTATCCTCTGTGTAAAACATATGCTGGATAAGTTGGCTGTTCACTGTGGCGACCCCTAATAAATAAAGAGTCTAAGCCGAAGGAAAATGAATGAATGAAAAAGCTAAAAGTATAAATTATTTATTCATTTTCTTTTCGGCTTAGTCCCTTTAATAATCTGGAGTCGCCACAGCGGAATGAACCGCCAATCAAATAAAACAAAATTAAAAGTATTTTAATAAGTGATTGTCAGAAGTTTTTTTTTTTATCTGTTAAAGGACAAATTTTACGTTTCTGACATTTTATCTGAAATACTATTTGTATTTATTAGATATTCTACTCTATTATGTCATTTTAAAAGGTATATTTATTACTGGGCGGATGATTAGAAATGATTAGAAATGTCTTGTTGACAAATGGATACAATCTACTTGTTTGAAATCTAAAATATTTAAAATGACAATTAATCAATATTCTGGAGCCGCACTGTGATCTGTCTACTCTATTGTTACACTGACACTAGTAGGTTTTTTCAGGCCAAGTCTACGCAGTAGATTTTCAAATTCACTAGTGCCCTCTAGAGGTAAATCTGCTGAACTGCAGCAGACAGAAGAACAATGGTGGATTGACAAAGGCTGCCATCTGGCCAACCTGATGGAGAGCCAACTGCTTCCCCACTTTCAGAATTGCAGAGCTGAAAGAAAGCAAACAGGCCAGTTGGTCACGATGGTACATGAATAAAAATGGGATGAGCGGATGGATGGTGCATCCAGTGACCTTTGGAGGTTTTAGCCATGTGGGAAATGCAGAGGACTGATCTCTTTAACGCAGAGAATAAGTGAAAAGTAACAGAAAGAGGCTGAGCTCTGATTCACAGGACTACAAAAATAACAGGGTATTTGTTCACTTGACAAAACAAACGCTTCAGTCACACAGATCAGTGGTTTTGAATTTACTTATGCGCAGTGAATAAGTAAACATTCATTCATTTATTCATTCATTCATTTTCCTTCTGCTTAGTTCCTTTATTTATCAGGGGCTGCCACAGCGGAATGAACTGCAAACTTATACACTACGGACAATTTCATTCATTTATTGATTCATTTTCTTTTCGGCTTAGTCCCTTTATTAATCTGGGGTCGCCACAGCGGAATGAACTGCAAACTTATCCAGCATATGTTTTGCGCAGTGGTTGCCCTTCCAGCTGCAACCCATCACTGGGAAACACCCAGACACTATCATTCACACACTACACTACAGATCATTTAGTTTATTTAATTCACCTGTAGCGCATGTTTTTGGACTGTGGGGGAAACCGAAGCACCTAGAGATAACACACGCCAACACGAGGAGAACATGCAAACTCCACACAGATATGCCAACTAACCCAGCCAGGACTTGAACCAGCGACCTTCTTGTTGTGAGGCGACAGTTGCTAACCACTGAGCCACCATGTGACCCTAAATAAATATTATATAATAATAAAAATCTTTATAACTACTGTCAAAAGTTTAAGATCAGCAAGTCTTTCTTGTAATTTTTACACTCACCAAATGCAATTATTCAGTCAAAATTAAAGTAGAAACAGTAATATTATGAGATATTACTGCAATTTAAAATAAATGTTTCATTTTAATATATGTTTTAAAGTTTCTTTTATGGCAAAGCTGTATTTTAGCAGCCATTAACACAGTTTTTATGTAATATGATGCTTTAGAAAATAATAATAGTAACAGTAATAATTAGTAATTAGCAATTCCAGCGTTATGGATGTGACGTTTGCAGTAAAAACTCAAAACATAAATTCACATAGAAAGTAAAGTTGAAGTCAAAATTATTAGCCCCCCCCCATTTATTTTCTTTCTCGAAGTTCTGTTTAACAAACAGAAGATTTTTTTTCAACACATTTCTAAACATAATAGTTTTAATAACTCATTTCTAATAACTGATTTATTTTATCTTTGCCATGATGACAGTAAATAATATTTGACTAGATATTTTTCAGGACACTTCTATACAGCTTAAAGTGACATTTAAAGGCTTAACTAGGTTAATTAGGTTAACTAGGCAGGTTAAGGTAATTAGGCAAGTTATTGTATGTACGATGGATTGTTCTGTAGACTGTCTGAAAAAAAAATAGGTTAAAGGGGTTAATAATTTTGTCCCTAAATTGTTTTTTTTTTTTTTAATTAAAAGCTGATTTATAAAGCTGCCGTTATAAAACAAATAAGACTTTCTCCAGAAGTAAAAATTTTATCAGACATACTGTGGAAAATTTCCTTGCTCTGTTCACATCATTTGGGAATTATTTAAAAAAGAAGAAAAAAATAAAAGGGTGGCTAATAATTCTGACATCAACTGTTTATGTTAACATTATATTGAAACATCTGTTTATATTTTCCAGAACAACTGACCACCAAGATATGGGATCAGAAAAATGTCCATCTGTAAACCTTTTTTAAATTTTAAACTAAAAAATAAACATGCGTTATAAATGTGTGCGTGTTTGTAGTATACAACATACTTTGTAGAAATTCTGTGAATTCTGTGATTTCCAGGTTGGGGGTTGAGTGTTGGACCACCCCCCAAAAAAACTAGATGTTACGATACACCAATATTCATTCATTTATTTTCTTTTCAGCTTAGTCCCTGTATTAATCTGGGGTCGCTACAGCGGAATGAACCGCCAATTTATGCAGCATATGTTTTATGCAGCGGATGCCCTTCCAGCTGCACCCCATCACTGGGAAACAGAAACTCCAAAATGGTGGGGCTAAATATTCTTCAATATAAATAACTTCAATATAAATGGCCCTGATGGTAGGTAATGGAGTAAGTATATGCTGTTTGAGAAACATTTCAAACTTCAGTATCATAAATACATTTGATGTATTCGTTTTTTTTTTTTATAAATCCTACCTCTTCGTCTCTTGTGTTTACGTCCACTGTCTTGGAGCTGATGGCCTTGCTGACGTGTTCGATGTTGTTCTCTCGACAGTAGTCGAAAATGTTTTTGTCCTCTTCCCTAAAGTCAAACACAACAAAAAATAAATCATTTACAAAAGCGATGATCACACCAAACATTAAAAACAAAACAAAAAACGGCACAGAAGTCAACTAAAGAATAAACAGCATTAAATCAGTCAAAAGCAATAAGCAACAAGTTGATCCAATTTTGGGGACTGTAACAATAAATATTTCAGTTTGATCACTCAGGATGAATTTATTTTAGGGATTTGAAGCAAATATTATGTTATTGGCAGCGTCTCATAGTAACACACACACACACACACACACACACACACACACACACACACACACACACACACACGCCAGGCGCTCACCACACCCATTTTAATTATCTCCCTCTCTAATCACCTTGTGGCATTTGGGCCAAGCCAGGCAGAGAGCGAGAGGGAGAGAAAGAAACGGGTTATACAGGGGATGAGGTACAGTTGGTTTGAGAAATCTCATTAAGAGATTTACCCCTGCCCCTCTTGCCCATGCAGGATGGCAGATTAATTGCATTCGGAGCCCTATTGTGTGGTGGCTCCTCACTCTCATTACAGCATACTGACAGAGTGGACAACTTCACAAGAACTGATATCTGCCAGTCAATCACTCCAGTACTGACTAATTCAATGATATGGCATCAATGCACTGAAAATATATAAATATTGTATAAACACATTAGGAGAAAAGTCTGAAACTACAGAGACAATTATTCACTTTTGTGCATAACTTAAAGAGGTGTGTTGTGCCAAACATGTATGCACCAAAAATTGTGTAAATTTATTACACTTATATAAATACACACATGCATATATTAGAGAAAATGTTTATTTGTATTTAGATATAAATTATACACTCACCGGCCACTTTATTAGGTACACCTGTCCAACTGCTCGTTAACGTAAATTTCTAATCAGCCAATCACTTGGCAGCAACTCAATGCATTTAGGCATGTAGACATGGTCAAGAAGATCTGCTTGCAGTTCAAACTGAGCATCAGAATGGTGAAGAAACATGATTTAAGTGACTTTGAATGTGGCATGGTTGTTGGTGCCAGACAGGCCGGTGTGAGTATTTAAGAAACTGCTGATCTACTGGGATTTTCACGCACAACCATCTCTAGGGTTTACAGAGAATGGTCTGAAAAAGAAGTGAGTTCTGTCGGAACAAATGCCTTGTTAATGCCAGAGGTCAGAGGAAAATGGCCAGACTGGTTCGAGCTGAAAGAAAGGCAACAGTAACTCACATAAACACTCGTTACAACCGAGGTATGCAAAAGAGCATCTCTTAGCGCAAAACACGTTGAACCTTCAGGCGGATGGGCTACAGAAGACCACACCGGGTGCAACTCCTGTCAGATAAGAACAGGAAACTGAGGCTACAATTCACACAGGATCACCAAAATTGGACAATAGAAGATTAGAAAAATGTTGCCTAGTCTGATGAGTCTCAAGTTCTGCTGCAAAATTCGAATGGTAGGGTGAGAATTTATCATCAACAACATGAAAGCATGGATCCATCCTGCCTTATATTCATGGTTCAGGCTGGTGGTGGTGGTGTAATGGTGTGGGGGACAGTTTCTTGGCACACTTTGGGCCTATTAGTACCAACTGAGCATTGTGTCAACACCACAGCTTACCTGAGTATTGTTGCTAACCATGTCCATACCTCTATGACCACAGTGTACCCCCACCTTCCGATGGCTACTTCCAGCAGGATAACACGCCATGTCATAAAGCGTGAATCATCTCAGACTGGTTTCTTGAACATGACAATGAATTCACTGTACTCAAATGGCCTCCACAGTCACCAAATCTCAATCCAGCACCTTTGAGATGTGGTGGAACGGGAGATTCGCATTATGGATGTGCAGCTGACAAATCTGCAGCATCTGCGTGATGCTATCATGTCAGTATTGACCAAAATCTCTGAGGAATATTTCCAGTACCTTGTTAAATCTATGCCATGAAGGATTAAGGCAAAAGTGATCCAACCTGGTACTAGTAAGGTGTAACTAATAAAGTGGCCGGTGAGCTTATATGTATATGATTAAAATTCTATATTAACTTAAATATCTATGTAACAAAATTGTTTTGAATAGTTTGCTTCTATGTATGTGTGCGTATCACATACACATCTTTGCCCAGCACAATTTTTTTTTTCTTCAGAACAAAATATACATTGAAACATTTTCAAAAAATAAAATACAATGAATTACTTTTGGACAATATATTACAATTTGACAAAGCATTTATAATGTTTAATAAAGTTGTACATTTATCCTAGATTTAGCTTTTTTACAAAATCATAAGCAAAATAAATGACATAATAAATAGGTAATATGGCAGAATGTGCAAGAGGGTTATAAATAAATCATAAATATTGTTATTTTTAAAGTTTCAAGATTTCATTTCACATTTATGACAATCACAATCCTATTTTTGGACTATATTCATGAAGGTCTCTGATACTGATCTTATTATCCTAACCAAACACATCTAATAACTCTCAAAAAACTGATCTTGACAAAAAATGATAAAAAAAACATATCTGAAGTGGCTTATGCCCATATATTTGTGCAGTAAACCTGGCCTTCTCTCACTTGTGGGAAAAAAGAATAAATATGTGAGTGTGTGTGGTTTTACGGTGACCCAGTGTGTCTGTGCCATGTGGGCATCATCCGTCTCTCGGGGCAACTAATCAATAAAACTGCTCATTCGTCACACTGATGCCGGCCTGTGCTCCTGAAGCCCGCACACACACACGACGCTCACATATGCGTGCTTACACCTGATTAATAGCTCACTGATAAACGACATGGCATCAGTGATGCCGCTGAGGATGCTGGGAAGGTCACTAGCTACTCCGTCATTCCACACTGCTTGATCAACATTTTCTGAGTAGTACAAGACCAAACAAAAGAGGTTTTAGTGAAGAGTGGAGGTAAAACTCTGTATAAATCTGCAAACAGTGAAGAGGTCCTGTAACATTCATTTTACAAAATGTAAGAAAAGTCTCATTAGAAGTCTCATCATAACATGCTGTAAATGCCTGTATTTGAGGCATGTCTCTCTCTTTAAATGCAAATGAGCTGCTGCTCCCCACCTCCCGTTCCAGAAGAGGGAGGAGTCTTTCAGCTTGTGCACTGGTTACCTTCGATGTCAACAAACATATGGTCAATGTGACTTTTAAATCCTTTATTCATTCATTTTCCTTCGGCTTAGACCCTTATTTACCAGGGTTCGCCACAGCGGAATGCACCGCCAACTATTCCAGCTTGTTTTACACAGCGAATGCACTCTCACATTCACACCTATACACTGTGTCCAATTTAGTTAATTCAATTCATCTATACTGCACAGAACTCACAAAACCTGGTAGCCTGAAGTCCCGAGGCTATTGTTTTAATCTATCTACACCGTGCCCAGTGGGGTATCTAGATAGCCTGCCAGGCACGCTGCTTTTGGTTGCCCGACTGTAAAAATGGGATCAGATTTTGTGAGCCCTGCTGCATGTCTTTGGATTGTGGGGAAACCTGGAGCACCCAGAGGAAACCTATGCAAACACAGGGAAACATGCAAACTCCACAGAGAAATGCCAACTGGCACTGCCAGGACTCGAACCAGGTTTTAAATCCTTGTCAGTTTAAAATCCTGTTATGTATTTTAGTAGGTCACCGATATTAAGCGCATGAACAGAAAGGCAGCACCAAATGCATTTCTTACATTAAGACTTGTTTTAAGAAAAAATATGTCTAAACTAAGTGAAAATAATCTTGTCAAATTGAAATACAATATTATTTTGCTTGGCTTGTTGGCAGATTATTTTACTTGTTTTAAGGGAAACTCACTTAATTTTAGCATGTTATTTTTTAAAACAAGACAATTTTTGTTTGTCTAGAAAATGCTTTTAGATTTATCATTTTTTGATATTTGGGTTAGAAACAAGACAAAAAAATACAAGTAAGAAAATAATCTTTTGTAGTGCAATCAAACTGTAATGCATCTTTCCTGCCAGCTGTCAAAACATACAATAGGTCAAAAGCACAAAAAAAAACTGTTTGGTTATGTCAAATATACACAATTGAGGAAGAAATTACACCTTTTATAAATAAGTATATTAGACCTGTGAAACTTCATATTAGACAGTTTCGAAATTTTTCAGTAGTCAATGTTTGAAGTGGATCAAATCTTTCAAAACTATTGACACCCATTATTGTCTTTTGATAACCATTTTTGATCAACATCAAATGTTTTGGTCCTTTTAACAATCTTTAAAATTCTGTTCCTCAGAATAAAGAAAGTCATAAAGGTTTGGAATGACATAGGGCAAATAAAAAAATGGGCAGGACTATCTATTTAAGATCATTGGTCACACTTTACAATAAGGATTCCTCAGTTGATGTTAATGTATTTACTAACATTAACTAATAATGAACAATACTTGTACATCATTTATTATTCATAGCTCAACATTTACTAATGCATTATTAAAATCCAAATTCATGCTTGTTAACACTAGTATATGCACCGTGAGTTAACTTGAATGAACGATGTACAAATTTATTTCCAATAACATTAACAAAGATGAATAAATAATGTAACAATTGCAATCCAGGCTCATTCTGAAAATGTTTCACTATATAAATTTCTGTGCCAAATATGTCCCAGAACTCAGGAGCTACATTTTTTTTTGCAGTTTTTGTTTTCGCGAGTGCCATTCGTGCCTGCTGTTCTTGCGTAAATCCACCAGAGGCTGCTATCGACTGACTGTCTGAACGACTGACCGATCAATCGAATGACCCACCCTACACCTTCCCTAAACCCAACCAATTGTATTGATTGACCCGCCCACCCACTTCCATAAACCCAACCAACAATTTTTACAAGCAATCCAGAAAAAGAAAAACCCTTGCCTGATTTTTTTACCTTGTTTTCAGGTTTTACCACATTCTCACCCTGTTATTCACTTGTTTATTTTATTTTTTGGATTCTGTTTTTGTCTTACCCACTTTCTAGAACCTTTCCTCTTTGTCAATTTATCTCTGCGTCTCAAGTACGCCGACATACATGGCGAGCTAACGGGACAAACTGGTTAAAGTGGGAAAGCTATCCATACGGAGGTAAGTGGTCAGCTGGTAAGTACGAAAAGGAACGGCATCATTCCGCCCTGTAACGCTCGTTTTAAAGACGAAATGCAGCCATATGTACTTCAGGCTACATAATTTGCAATCTCCAGAAACGTATATAGAGCTACATTTTCAGAATAAGCCTATGTTGAACAATGCTGTTGTTCATTGTTTGTTCATGTTAGTAAATACATTAACTACTACAACCTTATTGTAAAGTGTTAAATTATCAATCAGTCACACTTTTGTGTATTTTTAGAGCAAAAGAAAAGAAGCAACTAACGTTTTGAAAATCTCAAAATCAGTAATTTTAGGCCTCAAATGTAAAGAAAAGTCCCTGATAAATGCTACAGGGGCTGATAAACATGGACACACGCACCACTCCTCATGTGGAAGCACACTGCCCTCTAAAACTGGCTGATATTCTGAATCGGACACCTCTGCTCCCATCAATCAGATCAGATCAATCGCTCTCCTTGACATCCTCACACAACAACTCATCCATCATACATTCTTTGGAAGAGAAAGCTTCCTCTTTTATAACTCCAACAGAAGAGAACGCAACTCTCTCTTAACTGTTGTAAAAAAAAAAAATGGTCTTGAAATTATAGGTCATCCGATTGAGCAAACGGGCAAAGCCGAAACCATTAAGACTTTCTAATGAAAAGCTAACGAGAGGTTTGAATATGCAAGAGGGCTCTCAATCACCAAGCCTGGAAATTGGAAGGCAGTGAAGCAGTCTGCATGGCGCTCTGATTGGGTCACACCCGAAATGGGCTGCTCAGCGAGCGACAATTGGGAGGAGAAGAGGGGGAACGGGATGTTAATTGCCTCTTTGCTTTTTCCGTCCCCAATGAATGACTCGCATTCTCCCGGGACACGTCAACTTGGGGAATGAACCCCTGTTGCATTGATACTTCCATATATTTCTTTCATCCATCCATGCCTGGATCCGTTTTACATTCCTCTCATCGATAGAATCATAAAAAAAGTAATTAAACTCTACCGCTTCCCGAGGCCTCTTCACCCCCTATGCATGCATACTAATACTGTTAATTTAGGAGGTAAAACCCTGTGAATTCAGCCCTTAATTTGTCTCATTAAAGGGGGGAAGAAGCACGGGGGCATTTGGCATCCGTGAGCTCCATAAGCAGGAAAATGAATCATGGCTCACTGATGCAAGAGTGATCCAATAAATAAAATGAAAGATATTATAATAAAATCATCATATTTATAAGCGGGACTTGTTACCTTATCTTTTCCTCTTGGTATAGAGAGCTAACCGCTGGCCCACCGAATCCAGTTCGCTTTTCTCCTCCTCGTCGCTCTGAAGACTGAAAAAGAGACAAATCAATGTCTTATGTCCAATAAAATAACTATATATGTAACTTTGTTTAACGGAATGATATTTAATAATTACATGTACTTACTACAGTATATGTTTCGGGTTATAATCAGGGTGCAAATTACACATTGACGTTCAACTTTTTCGCTGTTCGCTGTTTTTGTAATACTCGCTTCAGTGAATCAATTGTGCTGTATGTATTTATTTAAATTACATCTAATTTATTCATAAAATGTATTTAAGTTTTCAGTGTTTTGTGGGATATTTTGTGTATTCTGACCTACATTATCCGATTAGCTACTTCTGAGGTTACTGTAAGTCAAACTATGCATTTAATTTGACTTTAATTTTAGGCTATAAGTAAACAAACAGCTATTTTATCAGAAAACAGTCTTGTGAACAGTTACATTGTCTGTCGGTGCTATAGATCTGCTGGTTTCAAACAGTTGAATAAGTTTTTTCTCGCAGACTGATTGACGTGATTATGCATTTACAGTGGTATGAACTATTATAGGGGTGGTCAAATGGATATTCATGTTATTAAATCGATTTTTTATATTATTTTTAATTATAACATTATTATTTAAAATGGCAATGCAGTGGTGGAGTAGGTAGTGCTGTCGCCTCACAGCAAGAAGGTCGCTGGTTCGAGCCTTGGCTGGGTCAGTTCACGTTTCTGTATGGAGTTTGCATGCTCTCCCTGCATACGGGTGGGTTTCCCCCACAGTCCAAAGACTGATCTCATTAACAGAGCGATCTTATTAACTGGATTTATTTTTAAAGGATGATAATGGAATAAAAGCTGCATAATATTTTCTTTTCAATATTAGCATTTGCAATAGTCACATTGCGGGTATGCACAATGTATATATGAATTATAATTAATAATTTTGCGGAAAACAATAAAATGCTCTTTATTTAATTTGCATACTTTTGTTCATTGAATTTATCTTGTAGATCCCTACAGAATCGTCCTAATCAATATCTAAAATGATATATTTTTTTCAAATAGTTATTCAACTCATCTAGTGCAAATGTATTCATATTGCAATACATATCGCATCAGCAGCAAAGAACTGAAAAGAGTATCAACCAAAAGAAGCATGAACTTTAGGTATACAGAGGTTAATAAAACTACTTGAGTGCAGATTTCAACAAGTTTTATTAATGTTGAGAAGTGACTGTAAATGCACAAAAACCTGCTTGAAGAGAAGGCCCGTTCAATAAAGAACTGGTATAGTCACACTGTTAACTATAATCAACAATGTTGTTAAAATCTTTTCAATGAATAATAAAAACATACACAATCAAAATGCGTTCTGCTTTAAACTAAACCCTGACCCTATTTTGATTTTTGAGTGGCTGGAATACTAGTTAATCAATCATTATGTCTTTTTCTTATTTAGGATGATGATGATGATAGACATACAAAATTTTGACACTTTCATTATAAGATGTAATGTTTATAGGTCAATCTGATGTCAGGTGTTTAACTAGCCTCTAACAGTGTTTCTCATCTACATTATTGCAATTGGCAAAAAAATATATCCAAATTTATTTAATATTAATGGGAGTGGTATATGTTAATTTTGCTGTAAATTCCTGAACATTGATCTTAACATTGCTAGCACTATCGATTGAAACAGAATAAATCATTTTTTTTTACAAATAAACAACAAAAAAACTCATCTGCTGATCAAACAGGGTATGAAATTATACAAAAAGCAAAAAATATCCCTCAGCATACAATTTTCAAAAAGAGATCTACAATAAGCCTCTGCTGAGCTCAAACCTGACAGAAAACTGGCAGGACGTTGCATACTGTATGTTGCTAGACTTGACAGGTTTTGTATTTCTGACATCATTATGTTCACTTTCCTTTAAACTGAACAGCATTTGGCAACAGCATAAGAGAGAGCACAAAGGACTCTGGGTATTCAACCACTAGTGGAACTCACTGAGAAATAAATTCAATTTGCAAGCCAGCTCTATTATACAGCAATTTTAATTCAACGACTTAAAAATATTACAGTTTTGAGCAGAAAAGTGCTGCATCTGCACTTCTGTCTGAATAGAAGGCTTGTATTAAAATAGCGTAAATTCCTGCTCTCCTCTTTTCTTCTTCGCGTAACAACAGAAGTGCACAGGAGGTCAGAAACAGGCTATTGTCTCTCCAACCAACCCCACTCTCTCTCTTTATCTCTCTATCTTGTAATGGAGCTGCCTGGCCTCTTTTAACACACACTAACACAATCAGTTCACTCTGTAAGGTGGGGAATTTGTTTATGTGCTTTTCTGTACGCCAGTGAGATTACATTTCTTGCAGCACAATAAGAAAAGGAGATATGTCTGATCTGACATGGTTATGATGGCTGGATGGATGGCTATGATGGATGGATGGAACAACAGATAGATTGTTGGATAGAACAATGGATAGGTTGATGGATGGATGGAATGACAGATAGAAAGATGGATGGATGGATGGATGGATGGATGGATGGATGGATGGATGGATGGATGGATGGATGGATGGATGGATGGATGGAATGAACGATAAAACATTGGATGGATGGTTGGACGGAATCAATGATAGAACAATAGATGTATGGACAGAATGAATGATAGAATGATGGATAAAATGATAGAACAATGGATAGAATGATGTATAGAATGATAGGAAAAATGGATAGAACGATAAAACGGATGGATGGATGGACAGACAGTTAGAATGACAGATAGATTGATAGAATAGATGGATGAAATGACAGATTTTTAGAACGATAGATAGAATGAAGGATGGATCAATTGTTAAAACGCTTGCTAGAGTGATTGAAAAATGATGGATGGATGGATGGATGGATAGACGGACAGACAGATGGATAGATAGATAGAACGATAGATAGAACGATAGAAAGAACGATAGATAGATAGATAGATAGATAGATAGATAGATAGATAGATAGATAGATAGATAGATAGATAGATAGATAGATAGATAGATAGATAGATAGATAGATAGATAAATTTGGACATTGTTTCTGGTCTTCATAATCCTCAACATCTTGGCAAAAACTATGAGATTTTTATTCACTGTCTACCTACAGTATATACAGTAAGAAAGAGGAACAACCACAGCAATGGCACAATCATATACTGCCCTCTTCTGGACATGTTCACACCGCAGTAGCATAACTGCACAATGCTTATAAAAGAACATCTGTCTCCAAGAGGTGTAGTTTAATAGCTTGAAAAACAAACTAGTTACAGGGATTCTTTACCCAAAAATGAAAACACTGTTGTACTCAACCTCAGGCCATCCAAGATTTTGCTCCAGTAGAGCATTTAAGAAGATCTGTAGCTGAAACTGTAATATTTTTTGAGTTATACAATGCATGGGCTACTAGAGTCAAAATATCTTCTAAATGTTCTACTGAGGAAAGATGATTACATTCAGAACAACTTATTCTTTTCAAGTGTATTAAGGCAAGGGAAAATTTACATTTAATGTTTTGCTTCATTTGAGAGCAGAAGTATGTCTAAAACAATGTCATGCTAATATGTTTTCCTGTCTGGGTGACCTGGGACCTGTAAATATCAGTATAAAGTATATTTGAATTTTGTGAGCAAGGTATGCTAATGGTCTAAACCAGTTCAATAATTTACTGTATGCTAAGCTAAGCTAAACATGCTCCTGCTAGAACTGGAGATTGGTTGAATGGATTCAAAAATGGTAAAACTTAACAGTTCAACTATGGATAGATTTTTTTTTTCAAAAAAGGTGGAGTGTTTCTTTAAGGCTGATCTTTATGTTTACATTTAGCAGACGTTTTAATTCAAAGCGATTTAATAGTGAGAATAAAATAAGCGCATCAAATGTAGCACATCAAAGTCTATTTACTAAATAAGTTACTAAATATAAAAGTCAAATTCTGTTCTTTTTTTTCTCTGTACCTTCTGGCTGCCTTCTGGGTCCAGGGCATGTACACAGGTCACGTACTCCTGCATGGCCTGTTCTGTACTCATGTCCCCCAGCTGCTTCCACGCCGACCTGTCAACAGAAAAAGGATTTTTTTGTGCTCCAAAAAAACTCATATTACTGGATGGAATGTGAAAATATTTATTAATTTTGTGCACAGACAAAATCATAAACAATAGATTGTAACTGTCAGATTATTTCACCCTTGTGCACTGTTCAAATGTACTACCCTTTCATTATGTTCGGGATGAAAACATCCACTAAATTAAACTGCTGTAAAAATGCATCAGATCATTTTTGTTTTACATAAATCTGTTAATCAGCCTCAGTCCTGATAAAAACTACTAAATGTACTAAACTCTTTAAATGTCAAGTTCATAAATGATGTCAAAACATTTGCATTTTTACAGCAGTTTATTTTAGTGGATGTTTTCCTCCCGAACATATTGAAACTGTAGTAAATTTGCCCAGAGCGTAATTGTTAAGGTTTTTTTTTTTTTCAAAGCATTTTTTCATTTTCTTTTCTTTTTTACTAAAAATCATTCCGCTAGCTGAAACAGAGAAAAAGTTATTGCCAAAATAAGACTCAAAATCACCCCGGAATGGTTGAATCCCCAACAGTACCAAGAGACTTACCATTTTCTCTGTCCCTCGAAATCGAAGAAACCAGGTTTTGAAGTATTGCACTTTCCAACTTTGACCTGTGAAAAATAGGTTTATTAATATATTTACTATTTACTTAATGATTCATTTTCAACCACTGAACTTTAGGTAGTGCTAACTTTAATTATGTTAAACTCCAGAACCAAAAATAAATTGACTCAAAACATATTTAGATATTTCATTGGTAACACTTTATTTTTATGGTCTATTTGAGTATTAGTAGACTGTGTGCTTAATATCTGATGATAATGCTCCTTCAACAGACATTTAACTGAGTATAAGAAACTGCAAGTACATGTCAACTTACACTAACCTTAACCCCAACCTAACAGTCTACTTATAATATAATAAGAATTAGTTGGCATGTAGATTCAATGTAACTTAAGTTCAACAAACAGATACATACTTGGTCACACTTTATTTTGATGGTGCGTTTAATAATTTAAGTTACATTGAAACTAATTCTCATTAGATCAGTAGACTGTTAGGTTAGGGTTAGTGTAAGTTGACACGTACTTGCAGTTTCTTATACTCAGTTAAATGTCTGTTGAAGCAGCAATATCAACATAAGAGGGCAGACTGTCTACTAATACTCAAATGGACCATCAAAATAAAGTGTTACCACATACTTTATAATGTTATACTGACTCTTGCATTGTTAAAGCACCAATTTTGATATAATATATAGATAGTATTATAGTAGCAACATAAAACTCTGTTTAACCATTAATGCATAATTTGTGTTTCAAAAACTTTAGGGTTTTCGCCACTATTTCCTTGGGCTTGCTTATTTGGGGTCTGAAAGTTTTATAACCGAATTGAGTTGGATCATGAAAGTACCATCTTATGTAGAGCTGATTAACAGCTCAATCGCATCCTGCACATTTGACACTGAAAAATGACATTACTGTGAAGTTCACGATTAAGCTGTTTTGACAACCTGTGGAATAGTAATAATGTGTTTTTTTTTGTTGTTGTTTTTTTATCCAAATGAATTATATTACATTACGTATTGCAATTTTAACTCTGGCCTGTTAAGGAAGTTTATGCCAGCATTTTAGACTCCATATTCAACAAGATTAGGGTTAAAGTTGGTGATTCATTCACACATTTGAACTTTATCCGTAATAATAGAATTAAAGAAAAGTTTTCCTTGCAAATTCTAAATAGTGAAATCATATTAGCAGCAAATGACTGTCAAAGCACAGCATTGTTCACAGTCAATTAAATAGTGCTAATGTTGTTTTCAAGTCATACTTACATGCAATTTTAGACCGAATAGTCAATGTACTGTAGCATAATAAACAATATAGAGACAATCACAAATTTTCACTGTTCAAAAATGAACAAATAACCTATATAAAATGCTTTCTACTGTTATGCATGTTGTATGTATATACTTTTTTGTTTTCTTATTTATGTATTTTGGCTTGTCAACCACCTTTACATGCGCGCACATACACACATCTGCCATTTGACTGACATCAGTTATTTTTACAGTTTTGTTTTGTTTTGTTTTTTTAAACTCTGTTTTTTGTTTTTACCTCTCTATTTGTATGTGTTTCAATGTAATTTGTGTAATAATAATAATAATAATAATAATAAAATGAGAGTAAAAAAGAGAGTAAAAAAGAACAAATGATCGAACATAAGCGCTACTTTTACCATAATTTCAACAGGCACATTTATCTGTAAATTGAGGTAAAGTTGGTTTTATATTCAGACAATCGTTCAGTGACAACTTGTGACATGCTCCCTATATGGTTTACTACGCTACTTTCAAGTATGACTTCAAAACAATATCATTCTGAAAATATAATTTTGAGGGAAAAGTCAGAATGTGTGAATATAAAACCAACTTCACCTCAATCATCTGTCAGAACTACACAGAAGCACAATTTTAATCACAGCACAATTACTACTGTTTTTGTGGCTACTGGGAAAACTTTTAATTAGCTCCCATTGTCTACTGGTAAAATATTGACTAAACTAAATTAACGCTTTGTATTGTGTTTGCACGAGCTGTCATGTTAATAGAAAGTTATTTTACAGCTTGGTGAGCAATGACAATGAGGAGAGCTCTGTGTTTACCTGTTTGAACCTGGCGTACAGATACAGCAGCTGTTCTCTACTGGCTGTCTGCACGAGATCTCGGACCCGGTCTGCCGCAGACTCAAACTCATTCTCTAGATCTGCCCCTTCTAATCGAGCCGATGCATCGCCAGCACTGCAATCAAATTTCCCTAATCCGAAATCGGAATCAGAGTCAGAGCCTCCGCCGAGTGGCTCTCCGGTGTCAGGCCGGGCTGGATCAGTACCGGAGCCCGTCGCTGAGTCTGGGGAGGATGATGGAGATCGGGACGCCATTGAAGAGAATAAAGATACCCTTCAGGGTTTATTAACAGTATTTTTTGCTTTGGTTGTTATTAAATAGTAATAAAAACGGCACAGACAGTTGGCTGCTACAGTACGTTTTCCGTAATCCGATTCAGTCGGACTTGTTTTGAGAATTGGTCCGTGAATGGTACGTCACAATAAAAGGCGCGACTGCATCCTGCACCCGGTGAAAACGGTTCCAACTGTTAATAGGTAATAATATTTATACAGTCGCATGATGTTCAAATCCAATTAAATCAGATCGATTGTGCAATACCATATTATAGGAAGCGATTTAGAACTTTGACAGAATTTCAACTTAAACGTAAACAAATTATCATTAAATAAATATAAGTAAAACAAGTTCAAACATAACAAACAGGTTATGTTATTTGGGAAATTAAAAAGTATTCATAATATAGATTTACAAATATGATAATTCAAATGTTAATGAAGTTACATAAAGAGTATATGCAATTAGGTTTCTTGGTGCTGCATTGGATCATAATTTAGTTGGAAACCACAAATAAATAACGTGATATCAAAATTAGTAAAAACTGTAGCAATAGTGTATAAAGCATGATTTATCCTGGACAATAAATCAATGTATATATTATGTAATACACTTATGTTGCCATATATGAGGGGGTGGTATATGTTACAAAATGTAAATAAATGCAAAATATGTCAAAGATGCCAAAAGGATAAAATATGTCTCATGTAAAAAGAAGAGTAAAGGAAGAAATAAGTAATAGACGAATGATGTATGTGGTAATGGGGTGGGAAAATAAAACGCTTGTGCTTCATCCCACTCCATTTTCCACCATGTTAAAGTTTTTTATTTTTTTTTTGTTAAGGATAATTTGTGTATGATATTTCTGTTCGAAAATAAATAAATCAAAATCAAATCAAAGCAGCCACAGAATGTATTTGACATAAAAATGCAATAAACCAGGAGCACGTTACTATTTTTGTTCATTGTGATTTTGGCGCAGATTCTGAAATATAAATATTGTCCACAAGATGGCAAACTTATCACATTTTCCCAAACGTGTGTCCATTTATTCCGCTGTCCAAATCCTGTTCAACCAAAGAAAAACACGTCACAGACGCTCAGATTACTTCTCCCTGCATTTCTTAAAAATGTCTTGTTGCGGTAGTGCTGAAGGTTTTTATGTTGCCCAGAAGCTAAAAGTGCCCCCCTGGTGTGCTAAAATATAAGTACATAAGGCGGGAATGCAGGCCTCTTAGGGGTCATGAATCAGTTCTTTATGGCCTTGAGTCAGCATGTAATATATTTGAGTAAAATGTAAGTAAACAGATTCATAAACAAGAGTGAAGGGCTCAGGTGGACTGGTGGATGCTTTCGTTTTAAGTTTCTTGTACTCTTGTGCTTGTAAATCATAAGTGTTCTTTTCTTTTTGAAAGTAGTATGCACTTTTTGATGTTAAATATAGACTAAAATCTATTTTATAAAATGTCGATTTTGAAATAAATTACTGCCATCAACCGTGTCAGTAAGGAATTAATGTATTTATATAAATTACAGAAATTAGACATCTTATTATTTATGTCATAAGCTTGTGCAGTATTGTATCAATATAAACACACAATATATTCATATATTTTATTGCAAATAATATAATTAGTAATATGTTGATGTTTTCTTTCATTTGTTGTAGCTCATTTGAAAAGTGTGTAGTATGCCCTGACTAAATATTGAAAAAAGTAGGTCCACTTGTAAAACATCTATTTTCAACAAATGATCCAATACATGAATAATTAAGTTGGCAAAGAATGTGTTATATAAGTTACAGAGTTTAACAGTGAATGACGTATCTGTTGCACATAGTGCTTAGCATACATAAGTTCACCCCTCACAAATCTCTCTTTTAAATTTATATTTTTAATAGGAAGCTATACAATATTATAAATTGTGCATATACATTAGATAAGACAGTACTGAAGCGTAGTACTGAAAATAGCTTACAATAACAGTCCACAAAGTACAGCCAAATTTATGTTATATATAGAAAAATATTAAATATAAATAAAAATTAAAAAAAAGAAAAAATCAGGAGAAGCAAAACAATTGAAAAACTTAGTTAAAATTTTGTAGGTTGTAATATATAGATATATATTTTTTTGCAATTTCTTTTTTTGAATTTAATTGTATTATCTTTAAATTTTTTAATATGTTTGGTGACTAAAAATATTGCTATAAATATATCTGTTTAATAACAGGCAAATACTATAACTGGTCACAAACAACATTCACTGCAGATTCTGTTTGACTCCTTTATGGAAAAAACAGCAATTGTGATTTTTAAAGACAATATACATAACCTTAATTCAGCTTTTGAAGTGTTACCATCAACCGGCAGATTTAGAATTCCTAAACCCCAAAGAAATACTAATAAAAAGTCATCTATCCCAATTTCAGTTGTTTTCCTAAATCAGATCACTGTTTGAAGTGAAGAGGGTGGTTGTTAAGAATGATCTGCAGGAATATGTATATGGTTGTGGTTGTATGCATGCAGTTGTTGTCTTGAATCCAGTGTTAAAGACAAATTTCCTTTCTGTGCTGAGCAGAATGGACATTAAAGTTTAAACTAAACTTAACTAAACTACATCTGTTTTGTTTAAATACACCAAAATACATTGCCTATATTCACTGAGAAATGAATAAAAATATTCATTTTACAACATGGGGTGTATGATGTCATAAAAATGACAAGTTTATATATTCAGAACATAAAAACAATATTCAAACAACAAATAAATATAATTTAGTAATTATTTTAAAATAGTGTAATATAAAATGTACTTAATTTTACTGAGGTTAAATTAAAGGTTCCACAAAGCTTGTCAACAGTTGGCCATTTAACGCACATATAGAGGCTTAGTGGTTTGCAAAAAATAAATTAATAAAATAATACAAAGTACACAAGCCAATAAATAAATAACTAATTTAAGTAAGTCCACTGTTTTTTTTTTTTTTTTATAAATTATAAAGATTTCTAAAGATTTCGGTCACTTACATTAAAACTGCAAATCTACAAATTACTAATAAATAATACCGCAATAAAGCAGGATAATATTTCAAATTATACAGTACCTATTCATACACTTTAACGTGAATTGTTTTAACAGCTTTGCTTTTCAAATAAGTAAATGAATATCATGAATGTATATCAGTGTTCTTTAATCAGGACCCCCACTAGGGGGCCTCAGCACAGTTCCAAGGGGGGCACAAGCTGCCTCAAATTTTTTTTAAACAAAACTGAAAACTGAAAGAAAAAAAGCTGAAAATCAAGATATAAGCTTTTATACATTATATTAATTTGTTCACTCAGCAATTGCTATTCTAATTTGAGGTGTTTTAGATCTTGTTTCTACGCCTAGAAAGATCCTGGAAATGTAAGTCAGGATATTTATAAAGATTATAGGAAGGAAAATTATTTTGGAATTTTTATTTTGTCATTGCAGCAGAAGTAGGCTATACAGCAAAATCTTGGAAATCTTGATGTGTCAAATGGGACAATGAAGCAATAATGTAGACTGTACATATATAACACATTTAAAATAAGAAACATTTTATTGCATCGTTGGGTGCAACTTACAGAGTAACGATACAATTACTTTTCAGCTGAAAGGTCACTTTTGTCATGGTTACTGTATAACGTACTGGAAATAAATTCAATAGTTCTAAATCAATTCAGAGAAGCAAAATAACATAGTCTTTGCAGAATAATTGTATGTTCAACTATTATTTATCAAAAAATGCATATGCTTAAGAAAAACATTTAATGAGAAGTTAGTTCATGACAATATAAGGCATAAATTCAGAGAAGCAGAATAACCATAGACATGGATTTTTTGTTATTCAAATAATTTCAATATTTTTCAAAAAAAGGTTTTATTTGCTCGACTACTGCACATGCGTAAGCACCAACATCAATATATGGCATGTAATAAATATGGTGTCAATAATTTGAAACATTTAATTTAAGTATTACTTTAAAAAAAAACTAAAGGAAAATTACTCAAATGTAAAGAATTAAGAATTTAAATTCTATTTCATATGCGTTTTTAGCATTTAGTCAAATAGCCAATTAAATTACTCATGAAATAAGTTACTTTGCTGACAAATAATGATGTGATTCACTCAAAAAATGGTTCATTGGATTAACTAAGTATTTTTAAGTGTTCGCAATTACTGTAAGTTCGCAAATTTAGTTTATTTCTGTTTTTTAAAGATATTAGTCAGAAAGCCACAGCACCAAATACATAGAATCATTAGCAATCAACTGCTCCAATCTAGCAGCAGAACACAATTTGCTCACATTTTCTTTCCCTCTGAATAAACAAATACAATAACATATTCTTGCATTAAGGACAATATAAAAACGTTATATTATATTATATTATATTATATTATATTATATTATATTATATTATATTATATTATATTATATTATATTATATTATATTATATTAAAATAATATATAATGACATAAGATATAGATAAAACCATTAGGCCTTACAACAATACAGAAAAATATATAAATGCAAATATGCAAAGGGTACGGCAGTAAAAAATAAATTAACAATAAAAAAACACCACTTTCCATTCACAACTAAGCCAGGGGCAGGAAAAATAAAAAAGGTAATGTATATAAATATATATACAAACACAGTTAATAATTTAGGGGGGTTATTAATTCTGACTTCAATTGTATATAAGAGGAAGGGTTGCCAAATGGTGTTAAAACTTTTGGTATTACTGCAAACTGTATACCTAATCTTTTCTAGACTGCATCAGATCATGCATCCAATGTACATAACTGGGTGGAGAAGGATTTTTCCAGTTGAGTGTTATAAACCTTTTAGCAATTATTGAACAGAAGGTGAGCACATTTGATTGTGTAGATGACAAAGAATCATTGCATGACTCAATATCTTAAAGAAAATATTTAGAAATTGATTAAAAAATTGATGCCCAAAAAGTACAGAACGTATAAAAAAAGCCAGAATGTATAAAAAAAAGAGGACTTGTTGACACCGATCACAAATTGGATCAAAGCCAGGGTTACTTTTAGATATTTTTGCCTTAGTCCAATATACTCTGTAATATATATACTCTGTAAACTCTCGCAATAACTAGAATTGTACAAGGCAATGGGCTGAATTTAAACAAATAAAATGTATTAATGTTCAACTTAATTTGTTTGTTTAAATGCAGCTTATATTAATTGTTTGCAACTACTTAGCCTACCTTAAAACTAATGTAGGCTAAAAATCCACAATGACTCATTTTTTTCAGTGTTGGTAATTAATTACTTTTTAAGTAACTTACCCAACACTATTATCTACGTATGTATTTGAAGTATATTAAACCAAAAGGCATGATAAAAATTTAAACAGCTTTTTTTAAACGCAGCTCACGGCGCACTGTGACGCACACACGTCTTTCACCGAGAGCGCGCTTCTGATGGCGGACAACAAGCGCTCATACGAACGCGCAGAGAGTCCGAAGAGAGAAAGTCACTCCCAGAGACTCTCGCTCCCGCTGCTGTCATTCAGGCACCTGTTTCGGGGAGTAGCAGGAGGTCACTTTTAGTCCCCTTATGTTGCGGGTTTTACTTTGAACGGGGTAATACAGTATGCGGGACCGGGGAATAGTGGACTGCGAGAGACCGGACAGGATTTAGACAGAGCGCAACGCGACGCGTGAGGCTCAGTAACTTAGTGACAGAAATAATAACAAAAGCCGCGAAGAACAAGAAGAAGACGCTTTTGAGGATATTATTATAGTTTGACTGGATTTCTGCTCCGCCAGCATGAAGTTTGCGGAGCACTTGTCCGCCCATATTACTCCAGAATGGAGGAAACAGTACATTCAGTATGAGGTGAGAGATTTATTTAGGATTTCTGTTCGCTTCTTGTTGTTGCGTTGAGAAGAAACTGACAGCAGAAAAGCCTATCGCCAATCACAACTTCAGAGGGCTGTTTGAATTCAACATATTACAATTGAAATAGGCGTTGAATAATGGATTTAAAAATTATACCAAACGAAATATTTCTGGAAAACAACTCAAATGTCGAATCAAATTTGACTTTACTTATTTTATCTTCGTGTTTTTTCTAGGCTATTTATTTATTTATAAGCTATTTTTATTTATATATAGGCTCACTTTTGCTGCCACCTATATACTTTTATTTACGTAGGTCTATATTGTATTGATCTTTTTAGATTTTCATTTCATTGTGATTTTGCTGTGGGTTCAGTGCATCTGGAAAAAAAAGTCAAACACCTGCCTGGACATTTCAAACAAAGAAGGATAAATCGCTAAAAGAAAATAATAATACAACACAATATTAAATGTTAATGTCAGAATTGTACAGTTATATGAAGTAAACTCGTCTACTTTCCTCCTTAAGTTTTTCTTTTTGGAATTAAGCCAGAAAGGTCATTTGATCTAATTGGTTTGCTCGCCCACTTTATGTCTGCTGCGGTTAATTTGCTGAGTGTCAGAGTTGAAAGTATATTTTTGCACAGAATTCTTTCTTTCTTTCTTTCTTTCTTTCTTTCTTTCTTTCTTTCTTTCTTTCTTTCTTTCTTTCTTTCTTTCTTTCATTGGAATGACATTTTCTGATAATTTTGCTCTCATTACATACAATATAATGGAAAAATTGCAAGAAATGTTTGCATAATTTCCAATTGACTGTTTAAAAAACATATATATTTTGCTTCATTCACAAATGGTTTAACTCAGCTTGCAGTCCAGGGTTTCCAAGCTTTCCAACCACCATCAGTTTTATGAATAATGAACAAAAGAGCTCTTAGAGATTCATATATCCCTTGCTAAAAATAACATGCTCCACTATCAAGCCTCTGCATCAGAAGAATGCTACTCTGCTTAAAAAAAACAAAAACATATTGAATTAAGCATAATAATAATAATTATTATTAATAATAATAACATTATTTATTTATTTAAATATTATGGAATCTTATTATTATTATAATTTTTTCATTCTGTTGTGAGTTAACAGTGGCTGGAAAAAATGTTGAACTGGTCATTCAAACTGTTGAATAATGGAAGGCTTCAAGCATTTTTTTAATGTCTTGTTGGTTTATTTATTGTTTCTGTGCTGTGAAATTATTGACTGCGCCCTTAGACGATAAATCAATGTTATTTGCGGGGTGATGGTGGATGGTCAGGGCTTCAGTATGCGTTTTGGCGCAAAGGAGGAGAAATCCTTTGTCTGGAGCACTGAATCTGTAATCAGACGCAGAACGGCAAACTGCAAGTAAACAAAATGTATTCATCCAAAAGAATCTCAATGATTGTATGTTAAGAATCATTGTTGATTGCAGAGATTAGCAGGCTGAATACACTTAGTTTGACCATTTAAACTGAAAATAAATGCATCTGTTGCTCATATTCACAGGTGCTGTAACACCTTCTATTGCATGCATGTATATGTCTGTCGCATCTGCTTTGGTCAGAATTGGTTGATTAGTCTCATTAGTCATATTCTTTTCACTGTCAAACCTCAGTTACTGACCATATGTGACAGATTTGCATGTGCAAATAGACTGCAGTGAGATTTCAGCTTGATCTGTCAAGGACAAGACAAAGGACCCGAGGAAAATTAATCCATAATGATCAGCCTGTCATTTGACATTACCAGGGAATGTTACACTGAGCTCTATTTACACAGTTTACATGACATAGATAGATGATTAGCAATATCCTTTCCCACACCGACAGCCTTATCAATGAGCTGTCTGCTTTTATTTTGTACATACGGTGATAAATCGTGGGAGTTTAGGTTCTGATTTACTCTTGGCAAGATGAAATGAACATCTTTTTTCCCCAGCTACGTTCAATACAATATGATCCATTGCAGCTCTGTATTACAGTACATCACAAAGAAAAGTAGAATTTATTAATGTTTGGCCATTGAAGTCCCTCTGTGAGCAGTTAAGCCATGATTACTTGACAGACTCGGTCTCTGTTAATCTATTGCATTGCTGCCTGTGGCTGACAGTGCTATAGGAAGTCAATGTGAAGCAGCCCCACAGGCTCTGCGCAATAAACCTGAGTCCATAAACTGACTTATAAAGATTGAACTGTTCAGGAAACTGACAGGCTTCTTTACCTAGTCCATTCCTTGAAACTTTGAAGAAGACTTATAATAATTTTTTTTAGTTTTTTTTCACCTTTACTATGACAGGACAGTAGAGATATCAGACAGGAAAGCATTTAGAGCAGAGAGAGGGGAAGGATCGGCAAACGACCTCGAGCCGGGAATCAAACTCAGGTCACTGTGAGCACATCGGTGCTATATGTCAGCGCACAGTACCACTATGCTATTTGCGCAATTGAACAAGACATTTTTTGTCTGATACCCAAATGGATAGTTGATTTAAAAAAAAAAAAACTCACTCTCAAATTTCAAACCTTTGTAAGTTTCTTTCTTCAGTTGAAAACAAATGATGATATTTTAAAGATAGCCAAAAACTTGTAACCATTAATTTTCATAGTAGGGAAAACTAATACTAATACTGGAAGTCAATGGTTACAGGTTTCCTGCATTCTTCAAAATATCTTCTCTTGAGTTCAACAGAAGAAAGAAACTCATTAAGGGTTGAATTAAACAAAGGGTGAGTAAATGATGACAGCGTTTTTATTTTTGGGGTGAACTGTGCCTTTAAATGTGACCTTGAAATATAGATTCATTAATGTGCAAAGGTGAACACAGGGGTGCAATAATAGAAAGGTGAATGAAGGGTTGATGAAATGTTTAGTCTCCCAGTTGATGAATTAACAAAATGATTAAGTGATAAATTTATGAGGCCTCCTAGGCTGGGTTGTGCATTTTAACTAGCTGTAAAATCTTTTACTTACTTGTAAAATGCCCCAATGAATTATGCAGAAGATATTAACACAATCACAGAATCCAATCATATTTTACTATCTAATGTGGAATGTTTTCCAATTTTGGATTGCTAATTCAAAAGTAGGAGTTTGTGTGTAAAAAAGTGAATATGTGTCTGTGAATAAGCTGCACATAAACCAACTTAAAATATGTAAGTAGTGGTACAATTGTTCAAATTAATGGAAACTGGGGAATGTTATTCCTTCATACATTCATTTTCTTTTCGGCTTATTCCCTTTATTAATCAGGGGTCGCCACAGGGGAATGAACCGTCAACTTATTCAGCATATGTTTTACGCAGCGTATGCCCTTCCAGCCGCAACCCATCACTGGGAAACACCTATAAACTTTTACATTAACACACATACACTACGGCCAATTTAGCTTATTCAATTCACCTACAGCGCATGTCTTTGGACTGTGGGGGAAACCGGAGTATCCGGAGAAAATCCACGCGAACATGAGGAAAACATGCAAACTCCACACAGAAATGCCAACGGACCCAGCCAGGGTGCGAACCAGCGATCTTCTTGCTGTGAGGCAACACACTACCCACTGAGCCACCGTGTTGCCAGGGAAATGTTAAATTGTGTACATTTATTTCAGTAATTTGTGATTACTAAAATTTAAACTAACTAATAAAACAGGAGCATTTTTTATGAGTCAATTAATCAATCAATTAATCATATAAAATAAAATGGATATATATTTTTAAATAAAATAGAATTTGGGGGAAATACTAAAAATAATTCTATATAAAAGTATTAATTAATATATTCTTTAAACCAGGAAAAATATAATGGGAAAATATTTCAGCAAAACAATAATAAAATGAAATGTGAAAAAAAAAAAAAAATCACAGGGCTGAACTATTAGGCTGAAAAAAATAGACTGAGAAAGATGGTGTTTTGTTAATTCAGGCTTCAACAATGTTCTAGGTGGATTTTAGGGTGTCAATATATGGTCTTAATTGACATCAGGTTACTAGGGGGTTGGTTACTATTGGAGTATATTAAGTACTTATATTTCATTAAGTACAGTTTATTACATCATATATCAATTGAAAAAAATGAGGAATCTGTTATTGAGTCTGTTAATTATTAGACATATAACAAACTGGCAAGCACATACAACTTTCCTCAGTCAGAATTTGGCTCTTTGAATAATGAAAAATGTAAATATAATAATACCAACAATTATGCACATTTTTTCTAGCCTCAAAAAGTACATTTGAAAATTCATCGATAACATTCATTCATTCTATCATTTTTGCTCAGCTTAGTCCCTTTATTAATCTGGGATCGCCACAGCGGAATTAACCACCAACTTATCCAGCATGTGTTTTACACAGCGGATGCTCTTCCAGCTGCAACCCATCTCTGGGAAACATCCAAACACACACATACACTACGGACAATTAAGCCTTCCCAATTCACTTGTACCACATGTCTTCGGACTTGTGGGGGAAACCGGAGCACCCGGAGGAAACCCATGCGAACACAGGGAGAACATACAAACTCCACACCAAAACGCCAACTGAACCAGCCGACTCCGAGGCTCGAATGAGCGACCTTCTTGCTGTGAGGCGAATGTGCTACTCACTGCACCACCATGCAGTCACTCATTGATAACAACAATAGACAAATTCATATTCATTTTAATATGGGCCACTTTTGGTGCTTCACATCTTTCATTGATCATGTTTGTTTAAAAAAATAAGGTCCAAGATATAGAATAAAAGTTACTTGTAAAATCTTTCCTCCATTTAAAAACAATACAGTAGACAAAGATGGATTCACTTATATCAGATTGTATGTTTTCTTGCACAGCTGGTTGTTGGACTCCAGATAAACTATTGTTAGCGTTGGCCAAAACGGATTAGCTGAAGTCACACAGAAGCGACAGCCAAAAGGATTCAGTTTGGTCTAAATTAATTTTTTGATGGTTATTTTCACTATTTATAGGACAAATGAGTATGTATAAGACATATTCTGGACCTTTGTCAGTGAGAGGTGGGTCCCACCAGACCACCTACAGGCCTGTGGAGCCCATCAAAAAGTATTTGTGATCCTTAAATAAGATTAAAATTCTTTCTTTAATGCACATCTGAGATTAATTTTGCCAGTTTTACTGGTATCATATTAAAAATAATAATCATTTTAAATAAAATCGTTGTACTTGAATATTATTCTTGAATCTGAAACTGACCCTAGCAACACACAATATACATATATAACTACACAAACAGAAAATGTGTCTAGTTTTGAGCCTGCATAGTGCATACACTATATTTCTTCAAAGCTGCAGGTCTCCTCTCTGGCTGGGACGTATGGATCTCTCTGGCTGACTTCACAGACCTGCTGTTCACACATGCACTGACACACACGTACACACATATACACACAGGGACTTGCGCTCCCTCTCCCACTGGGATGACATCTGCTGCCAGGCACACTGGACGATAAGACCTGCCCAAATCTCACCCAGACGCATGCATGCATATTTCTGGAGGATCAGCAGATGTATAGTGCACATGTATTCTGCTTGCAGCTATTCAGTTGTAAAACTTGAACACATCTAGCCTTGTGTCATCATCTCGATCACCATGGCAATGCCGCCATCTTGACGATTCCCTTGTTTCATTGGCTGAAACAGTGGCCAGGCTTTGACCTTGAGGTGGGAAATTTGTGTACGCGTGAATAGAAAAGTCTTCATTAATTGGCTTGGTTGCCGTTTAGCTTGGTGTACTGAGATTTGCTTGGCAAATAAATGTTCTTGATTGTAATTTGTCTTTTGCTGTGTCAAAGATATTCATTTCAATCTATGCTATATATATACAGTATATACATATACAGACTGAGCGGTTCCTTGCACTGACAGCAGCTTGTGTAGTAAATCGGCAGATAATGTTACGTCTCCTGAGTGCTGGTAAAGCCACATCCCATAGATTTTTTTCTTTTGTAATCTACAATAGCTGTAATCTTCTAAACAAATCTAAAAACTGAAATATTTTTAAAACAAAGAGGTGCATTTGCATTAAACAATTTAAATACCTGTATTATACTTGCATTTGTGTGTGTGTGTGTGTGTTTGTGTGTATACAGTTGAAGTCAGAATTATTAGCCCCCTGAATTATTAGCGCCCTGTTTATTTTTTCCCAAATTTCTGTTTAACGGAGAGCAGATTTTTTTCAACACATTTCTAAACATATTTTTTTTAATAACTCATCGCTAAAAACTGATTTAAGTATTATTTGCCCCCTCTGAATCTTTCTTTCTTTTTTACATATTTCCCAAAATATGTTTAAAAGAGCAAGGACATTCTTCACAGTATGTTTGATAATATTTGTTTCTTCTGGAGAAAGTCTTATTTGTTTTATTTTGGCTGGAATAAAAGCAGTTTTTAATTTTTAAAACACAATTTTAAGGTCTAAATGCTTAGGCCCTTTAAGCTCTATATTTTTGTTAGTCTACAGAACAAACCATCGTTATACAATAACTTGCCTAATTACCCTAACCTAGTTAACCTATAGTTAAGCCTTAAAATGACACTTTAAGTGTCTTGAAAAATATCTAGTCAAATATTAATTACTGTCATCATGGCAAAGATAAAAGAAATAAGTTATTAGAAATGAGTTATTAAACTATTATGTTTAGAAATGTGTTGAAAAAAAATCTTCTCTCCGTTAAACAGAAAGGAAGGGAAAAATAAACAGGAGGGCTAATAATTCTGTAGGACTAATAATTCTGACTTTAACTGTATGGAAATTAACTGTTTTTTTGTATTTTGTTATTTACATTTTTATTTTTTATTTTTCCTCTGTTTATCAATGCTTTTGAATTGCATTATGGGACCTTGGTCGTTCTTCCAACAAAATTTAACCTTGAAAAGTTTGAAAAAGTAATTTTTTTTACACTTTTAATAGTTTAAAATTAAATATTGTCTGGGTTGGTGTTGTGTATATACAGTAAAAAAAAACTTGTAATAAACTGCCAGTACATTCTCTGTTATTTTACACTGTAAAACCCAACAGTCAACTTTATCAAGTGAAAGGAGTGTAGTTAACTCAAAATTGACTGAAAGTTAATTTCACTCATCTGAAAAGAGTTTTGAACTCAGTGTTGAAGGTAATGAGTAAATACCTTGTTACTTTAACTTAAATGGAGTAAGTTTACAGAACTCATTAGTTTTTGAACTAATGGTTTGTAGCAATCGGTTTGAGTTGCTTTAACTTCTTGGGTTTTACAGTACTCAGTTGGTTTGAGTTCCCTTCATTTATTGGGTTTTACTGTGCTCAAATTGCTTTGTTTACTCAAATTGATTAAGTTCACAGTACTCATTAGATTTTGAACTGAAATGGTTTGTGGCAATCGGTTTCCTTAAATGGTTTAAGTTACCTTAACTTTTTGGGTTTTACAGTGCAGACTTATTTCTCTATATATTATTTCTTATACGTTATATAACTTCAAACTACTAAAATGTAAACAAAATCACTTTGTTAAACAGTAGAATTGAATTTTCAACATCAAAAGTCAACAGATCAACATCCCATAATGCAATTCACAACCATAAATGCACTTGTGAATCCCAAAATACGGAGTGGTGACTGTATTCTGAGTCTAAATTTAACACTCATTTCTAAAGAAACAACTGTTGCCCTTTTCTGTAGCATGTTAGATCATTTGAAACCTAGGTAACTTTTGCACTGACAAGTTCTGAATCCTGTTCATCATTGACCCACACCAACAAACAACAATCTCCTCATTAACGGATCTGTTTTTTCTGACACAGGCTTTCAAGGAGATGCTGTATGCGGCCCAGGATCAGGCCCCATCCTTAGAAGGTAAGGAGACTCCCATCTGAACACACAACGACCAAACCCTTTTTCCATCCTGTACTCGCCTCCAGCAGCCCAGAGCGAACTGCAGACTATAAATAGAGGGCATTTCAGTGCTGCCACATCTCTGGCAAGACAGTGGGCATGGCTATAATTAATATAGGACGTCAGATGTGTGCGAGGCGTAAGGGTGACGGGGTGCGGCATGGAAATGGTTTATCTGAAGAAGTAAACAGAGTTCTTGGGTTTCAGGTCATTTAGTCTCAAAGCGACACAGCAGTGATGTTGTTCTAGTACTTTTTTATGTCAAGTCTCATAACTCTGATTTCCTGATAGAGGTTTTAAGGTAAAAGTTTGGTTGGAGATGTTACTGGTGAAGTGTTACTTTAAAGTGTTTTAAGAATCCCTTGCTTTGTATTTGGGATGTACAATATTGGAAAAATATAGAGTCCAAATGTTTATTTAATTTAATTTAATTTTATTTCGTTTTCGTTTATTTCATTTTTTGGTTGGTTTAATTTATTTTATTTTATTTATTTATTTATTTTATTGTGGTAGAGAGTACATTTTTGTTGCTGTTTTTTATTTTATTTTATTTTATTTTATTTTTATTTTATTTTATTTTATTTTATTTTATTTTATTTTATTTTATTTTATTTTATTTTATTTTATTTTATTTTATTTTATTTTATTTCAATAGAGAGGAATTTTCACCTGATAAAAATGTATGCATTTTTTTTATTAATTTATTCTGATGCTGTTTCTTGTAAAACTTAATTAACAACATTTTGAAAAAACATTTTGAAGGTTTGCATTGTGGAAGAATCAATTTAAATCCTTTTCAATTATTTTTATTTTATTTTACAATTAACATGACAATAATGGCTATAAAGTAATAATTATTGGTTATTGTTAATAAATAAAAATATTGAATAAAATAATCATCTTATCATAATCATATATCTACATTTACCATTGCAATTAGTAAACCAACACGCTTTTATTTTGACAAAGTATTCACTACTGAAACTGGTAAAGAATACAATTATTTTAAAAAATTGACATTCGCACTGTCACATCAATATGGTGATTGTATTTTGATTAATTGTGATCAGTGCATCAGTTCCATTGCTGTATGATGGTTTCATGTGGCATTACTGTAGGTTATGTTACAAAACATGGCACAGTGTGCTTTGTCGTGATATGAAATTACATGATGCAAATATGAATTATAGTCTCAGAGTTTCCTATGAGAGACAGTCAGTTGTATCATGAATGATAAGATATAATTCATGTGAGAAACAAGCCTCAGCAAGCCATTTACACCAGTGGTAGACACTTGAAGAAGGACCATACTGTTAAGCATCCATCTTTCTGAGAACTAATAACTAATAGCCCTCAGGAGGTGTGTGTGTGTGTGTGTGTGTGTGTGTGTGTGTGTGTGTGTGTGTGTGTGTGTGTGTGTGTGTGTGTGTGTGTGTGTGTGTTTACAAGGTCCTGTCAAACTAAAGAAGAGATGTTCTTTCCAGTCAGTGCTCCTGTGTGTCTCTGTCAGACTTTGTGTGTGTGTTTGGCAAGCCACTTTGACCTTGTTTTTGCAATTCTGGGCTCCGCTGAGGTGGCAACTAAAAGAAAAGTTGGCAGGTCCGTTTGTCAGAATAACAGATTTATTGTGCTAAAAAACGTACTGTGTGGAAAAGAGGAAATGTCTGAGCTGCATTTTAACTGGATTTTGCTTAGCGGCATACAAAATGCTCTTTCCTGTATGAAGTCATTGTGTTGTGCTTTACCAGGTTGTTTGAACTTGATGTAATCAACACAAATTCATCAAATGCATTAATTGTATTCTTAGTGATACTATTTGTGGTCAGAACCTTCTACTTTTATTAGACATTTAAGAAAAATCCAACATAGGCTCATTCTAAAAACGTAGAGCTGTATACATTTCTGTAGATCGGGAATTATGTACCCAGAAGTACGTTTGTATGGAGGGCTTTCATGCTGTTACCAGTTTGTCCAGTTAGCTTTCCATGTATGTCAGCAGAATTGAGACGCAGAGAGGAGTTGACCACGACGTTGAAGTTTAAATCCAGCTAAGAATGGTTCCAGAAAGCGAGTAAGACAAAAACAGAGGCCAAAAAATAAAATAAACAAGTAAATAACAATGTGAGAATGTGATAAAATCTTTTCTTTTTCTGGATTGCTTTTAAAAACTGTCGGTTGGGTTTAGGGAAGTTATTGGCTGGGTCAATCAGTGCTTTTAAAAACACTATTGGTTGGGTTTAGGGAAGGAGAAGGGTGCGTCAGTCGATCAGTCAGTCAGTCAGTCGGTCAATCGACAGCGGCCTCTGGTGGATTTACGCGAGAACAAAAACTGCAAAACATGTAGCTCCTGGGACGTATTTGGCGCTCTTCAGAAATTTATATAGTGGTACATTTTCAGAATGATCCTGGGTTGGAAAAATCCAAACCTAAAGCATAAACCTTTGTCATGTACTTAATTTCACATGCAAATTCAGAAAGATGTGTGATTAGACATATTTAAAGAGAGAAAAATATGGAATGCTGTATTTCAGTATACCATTTTGGTTTGATGGTTGATGCATTTATTTTTATTATTTATTTATTTATGGCAGTTTGATAGATGCAGTATGTTTATAAATGGGAAACTGAATTGAGCAAGATTATTTTCCTACATTTTTATTGTTAATATTACTAATATTATTAATAATTTATTTTTACTTCTATTTTTATTATTATTGTTATTTCCTTTATTCAGTCAGGAGATCACATTAAAACAGTACTGTCTCGTCTTCCAGTGAGACCTGGTCAAGACGGCAGACAGCACATAAAGTTTCACACAAAAATCAGAGAAAACAATACCACAAAATTACAAAATCACCATTTATAAAAAACGTCAGATCATAAAAAAAAATTACAAGTATCCTTTAAGATGTTATACAGAAGAAGTTTAAAAGTACTTACATTTTTACATTTAGATAACCTTTGGCATTATCCAATGCTCCCTGAAATTAATATTTAAAATAATAGCTGATTTTTAGCTTATTTTTAATTTATATTTTGCATTATATTATCGTAATACTTGAATAATTGTCTTTACTTTTTAGCATTTGTTCTTTAAATGTGTTTTTATAACATTTTAAGAATTTTAATATCGTTCACTAAATAAGTCAACCAGTATTTTAAATATGGTACTAAATGCTTTGAATAACACTTGTAATTATCATGCAATTGCTCATTTAAGTCCAGTTAAATCTTAATGATAATGTGGCCAGTATATTGTAATCCATGCCAGTGTCTAAATCTAGCAGATCAGAACTAATCCATGAAGATCAATGGCTTTCTCGCTTTCCCAGCATTCAATTGAAGCCCCACAGTTTCCAGTATCAGTACAGCTGTGGTGATGTCTCGCTCTTTTTTTCCCCTCCAAAACCACTTTGATGTGCCTCTTCAGGGAAAGTGGATTGATGGAAAATGAAAGAGGGGAAAACAGAATAGAGGAATAGACAGACTTATTGAAGCACCTGTCATGTGGCTTTTATATTAGGTTTCATGTCTATCAAAACTCCTAACATGGTTTGTGAGGCTTAGTGCAGTAGTTTTTCAAATATGGCTTTGTATTGTCTTCGAGTCTGTTGAGATCAAGTGATGATTTTATTAAATAACCCTCCGATGAAACACTAATTACTGCAGCTAGATTTATGAGGAAGCTTTTTTTCCTTCACAGTCTGGGAGAAAGAAGAGTTTTGATATTCTGTGAACACACTGGTGCCCGAGGGAGGCAATTTATTGGGTTATTACGGACCTCTCTCTCTCTCCCTTTCTTTCTGGCCTGATCTGATATAGTCATTTTGAAGCTCAATATTGAAAGTGTGGCAGTTCAAAGTGTCAGCATTCCCATACACTGTCAGCAACACCAATGAACTCTGTATGCTAACGTGTTCAGGCATGGAAATGAGCGATTCAAGTCTCTAACGGGATGAAGGTACGTGAGTGTTTTCTATAAATGCCTTAAAATGTAAAGGATAAAAGGTTGGCATAAATTTGCTGTGGATGCTATATTCGTGATAAACTTGTCTTGCTGACACCGAATGTGCTACCTACTTAGACAGCATGTGAAAGTAAGGAAAGTGTGAAGAAAGTAATCCCAGTGTGATTTAGTACAAGAATGAGTTTAAGAATAGTAGACTTCATACTGAGGTTTAGTTATATACTGTACTGATGCAATGCCAAAATCACCTATGAAAGTTATTTGGACAAATCAAAAAAAAAAAATTTAGGCCTCAATTGCCCTCACATTTCTTACTAGCCGAGGTGGCAAATGAATGAAAAGTTCTGTTTGTTCAGAAATAATTTACCTAGACTTTTTTCAACATTCGTGTGATTTTTGCTGGGAATGAATGTTCAAAGTCTCAGCCCTACAGATAATGTTCAGGCCACATGCCTAGACCTAGGCTGCTTATCTGTCTTCAAACATCAAACGGTCTTGATCCTAATCTTGTCATTGTGGTCAACTGTGGGAGTATCTTTTAATTGGGTTAAAATTTTCTGCTTTTTCATGTTACACCTTTTATACTGTCTCATATAACAGTATGCGCCTATTGCTATTATTGTTTTTTATGTTCAAACATAAAAACATTGTTTATCTTTTATGTTTTTTATGTTTGTTTGTATTTTTTTTGTAAAGCATTTTATGCAGCCTTGTGTCACTTGGAAATGTCCTATATAAATAAATTGAACTTGAACTTGACCTTTCAACTTTTATCTTGTGCACTTATTATGTAGACTTGTGTGTACAGCACACAAAAAAGTTACAAGCCATAAAAGAAAATGAAGTTAATGTGGAGGAAATTAAGTGAAATGATAATCACCATGCTGAAGTTCTCATGTGCTCGCCTAGACCATTTTAGTGCATGTATTTATCTTTAACTTTAGCTGCTCACTGCAAAAGACAAAACCACCAATCTCATTGGTTGGCCAGATTT